CGTAGCGATTTTTTTTCATTTCGCATAACTTTTTAAGATCTACAACTTTTACTAGGATGAAATTTTCAAAACAGGAATTGGTTGTGGATATACGGGACCTTGAGAATAACTTTACCTTTACTTTTCACAAACCCATTTACATTTTGAAATTATGATTATCTTAAAAGTTGTAGATCTTGAAAAGTTATGCGGAATCACACAAAAATTCATGACGTTCGGATTTTGGAGCACAAAGTTTGACGAAAGGCGAGACCCGGCGGTTTGCGGCTTGCAAAATCTCAAAAAGTTTGCGGCCTCCATTTTTTGAATCCGAATACATTTTTGAGATCTTGCAAGCCGTAAACCGCCGGGTCCCGCCTTCGTCTCGAAAAAACGTCATTTGCCACCCCGAACGAGCCTTTTTTTTATTTCGTCCAACTTTGGGCAGCCATAACTTTGTGCTCCAAAATCCGAACGTCATGAATTTTTTTTTTTTTATTCCGCATAACTTTTCAAAATCTACAACTTTTAACATAATCATAATTTCAAAATGTACATGGATTTGTGAAAAGTAAAGGTAAAGTTATTCCCAAGGTCCCGTATATCCACAACTAATTCCTGCTTTGAAAATTTCATCATAGTATTTTTTTTTTTTTACAAAAGATAATCATATATTGATCCAAATAAAATAGATAGTTACATCCTGGAGTTCAGCCAGGCCTGAAAATCAAAGAAACGACTCATAGTCGGGTACAAAGAGAGGGTTTTACGAGCCACCAGATGGGCTACCCTATGACTACGCCGACCTACAAATCGAACATGAAACCCAGAATAGCTGCTTAAAAATTGCAGAAGTTCCTCCAAACAGCTCCAACTCGGTTATCCCCAGCATCCCCCTGATTGATTTTATCAATAAGCACCTTAGCATCACCTTCAAACCTCACTACCGAGAGACCAACCTCCAAGCACCACAAAACCGCCTCCCGGAGGACAAGCAGTTCAACCCCCATAAGGTCATCCATGTAAGGAAACTGAAACCCTTTAACCAGTCAAACCTCTCTCGTTGGAGTCAGAAGGACCAACCCGCCAGCCGAGTGCGAACCCTGTCTCACTGCGTCGTCCCACATACAAACAACACTATCCTCCCCAGCAAGACCAAGTGTGGAGCCCCAGAAGGACCCGTCGTAGGGGCAACCGCCATGGGGACCCTATCCATAGGCAGGCGGACCCACTCCTCATACTGCTGGTGGAACTGACGCATCAAGGCAGGAAACCCGAATTGCTTACCTTCAAAAACAACCCAGTTTCGAGACCGCCATATTCGCCAAAGGACAGCCACCACAACCATAAACAGAGAAGGCTGATGAATCAGGACCAAAAGTCTCTTCAGGAACATAGGGAAGGTATGCCTAGGAAGACCCTCTCCCAGATACCCCAGGCCTGAGTAATCCCAAAGGGCACGAGCCACAGGATAGTCCAAGAACAAATGCTCCATTGTTTCAGCACTAGCCCAACAAACAGGACATCGGGGGGTGTACCGGGACACGCTTGTCAATAAGGAACTCTGTGGTGGGTAAGATACGATTGAGGATCTACCAGACAAAAACTTTGAGTTTCGGTGGGATGTTTGCATCCCACACCCGGACCCAGTCCTCCTTAACCATCCAACCAACCGTAGATCTCCAACCTCCCCTCCTCTTATCAATGTCAACAGCTAAATGGTAGGCGGACTTGACGGTGAAAACCCCATCCGCCGTACCATGCCAGATTAACTTATCTGATACATCTTGCCTCGGAAGGGGGATAGCTTCAATGGCCTTACAGGTAGGTGGATCAAACCATTGACATAACTTGTGGTCATCCCAACACCCCTCCCCTGGGCACATAACCGCAGCAACCGGTGGATCCCCCCTTTTGGCAAGATCCGAGGATTATAACAAGGGGGATCCATCTGGAGCATAGGGATCCATCTAGAATCCAGTAGAGACGCAGTCTGACCATTACCAATTCGCCACCTTAACCCCTGAACCAGCAACTCCCTACCAAAGAGAATGCTTTGCCATCCCCACGAATGGCGGGACCTAGCTAAGGCATCCAGAAAAGACCCAGTGGGTAAATACTTGCCTTTGTAAACCTGCGCCAACAAGGATTGAGGTTCCATAAGGATACTCCATCCAATCTTAGCCAGCAGGGCCTGATTGAATTGCTCGAACCGACGGAACCCCAGCCCCCAATCATGCTTGCTACGGCACAGATTACGTCAAGACACCCACCTGATCCGAAAATGATCATTAGCATCACCCCACCAAAACCGGGCCACATGCCTATCCAAGAGGCGACATAAAGAGAGAGGTAGCTTAAAACATGACATTACATGCAACGGCAAAGCCAGAGCAACCGACTTAATTAAGGTCTCTTTTGCAGCCCAAGACAAAGTCCTCCGTTTCCAACCCTAGAGGAGCTCAAGCAGCTTCTCCTCCAAATACCGGAAAGTGGCCATCTTGGACCGAGCAATAAGCGTTGGCAGCCCAAAGTACTTATCATGGACCCCCACCGCACCAACTCCCAGCACCGCGGCCAAAAATTCCCGATCAGCACGGACAATATTCTTACTGAAACATACAACCGATTTGGCCAAATTCACCCGTTGGCCGCTCAACTCCTCGTAATCATTTAGGACCTCAATCAGATTATCACACTCCCGGAGAGTACCTCGCAGAAATAAATACGAGTCATCAGCAAAGAACAAGTGCGAGATCCGCGGCGCACGAGGGGCCACTTTCACCCCCTCCAGTCTTTTGTCCAAGATAGCCTTACGAAGGAGCGCCGCGAAGCCCTCAGTGCAAAGCACGAACAAAAGAGGGGGGAGAGGATCCCCTTGCCTTAACCCCCGGGAAGGAGTGAAATACCCTGAAGGAGTCCCATTCATAAGAACAGAAAAAGATGAGGACCGGAGACATTCATGAATCCACCCTTGCCAGGTAGAGTTAAAGCCCATCTTTTCCAAAACTGCAAGGAGAAAGGGCCACTCGACTCTATCGTAGGCCTTTTTCATGTCAACCTTTAGAGCCATGAACCCTTTCTTACCCCGTGTCTTGATTTTAAGATAATGCATTAACTCATGTCCCAGAAGTATATTCTCAACAATTTGACGTTCACGGATGAACGCATTTTGACCCTCTGAGACAATTTTCGGCCAAAGGCAGGCAAGACGCTCCGCCATAATCTTCGTAATTACTTTATAAACAAACTGGCATAAACTAATTGGACGCAGCTGCCGCATAGATTCGACATTATCGACCTTAGGGATCAGTGTAAGCCACGTATGGTTAAAACTACGGAGCATCCGACTCGTAGCAAAGAAGGAGCACACTGCCGTAACGACCGACTCACCCAAGATATCCCAAAAGGCCTTAAAAAAATTTCTAGTGAATCCATCCGACCCTGGCGCTTGCTTTGACCCCATAGCAAATACCGTTTTACGCACCTCGGAGGGGAGAACTTCAGCCGTAAGGCTGGCATTCATCTCTGGGGTAACACTACGAGCTATAGGCAATGAGGCCACTCGCTCAGCCATATTACCCACCTGATTCTCCGTCGTAAAAAGGTTTTGATAGAAGGAAGTCGCAATACCCGCTTTCCCAATTTCATCAGTTATCCAGTCATCATTCTCATTACGGAGGCCTACCACAAAGTTTCTTTTACGCCGAGCCCGAGTCACCGTATGAAAGTAGGACGTATTTTTATCCCCTTTCTTCAACCAGTGTACCCTGGATTTCTATTGCCAATAAACTTCCGCCTCCCATTGTCGATTCAACTCCATCTCCAACTCCCGGATCGTATCCCAGTCAATAGGATGGGTTAATTTGACCCGATCAATTTCGCTCTGAAGGGTACGAATATTCCGTAGGGAATTAGTAGTACCTGCTCTGCTCCAGTCGTACAGGAGATGACGAAGTTTCTTGAGGCGCTCCCAACGGCGGAACATAGGGGTGCCCTGAATCTCCTCTTTCCAGACATAGATAACCATAGCCCGAACTTCAGGATTATCTGCCCAACGGGCATCAAAGTGGAAGAGAGGGCGGCTATTCCGACTATAAGGTTTATCAGACAGGAGGAGGGGTCTATGATCTGAGCCTTGATCTGTGAAGTGTTTGGCCAAGGTTTCAGGAAACCGATCAATCCAGTGCTGGGAGCAAAGGGCTCTATCCAACCGTTCACGAATAGTAAAAGTTGTAGATCTTGAAAAGTTATGCGAAATGAAAAAAAATCGCTACGATCGGATACCCGAGTGCAAAGTTACGTTCGTTTGAAGTTTCGACCGAAGTTAGGAGTTGATCGGGAAAAAAAAATTGGACCAAACCGCTGGGTGGGGTAGCGATTTTGGGCCAAACCGCCATCCCACCCAGCGATTTGGTCCAATTTTTGTTTTATAACCGCCCACTAGGCCCGCGGTTTGCATAAGAAACCGCGCCCCCGCCTAGCGGTTTTCGTGTAAACCGCAGGGTGGGGTGGTGGTTTTTGAAAAATGGTGGTATTTTTGGAATATTTTGGAGTTGGGTAGTATTTTTGGAATTCTTTTTTTAAACAGTGGTACTTTTGGATTTTTTCCCTTCTTTCTCCCCTTTTCTCTGTGAAAGATTCAGGGCTCTTCATCGGCAAGCTCTATAAATTCCGATCGATTTTTCAGGTAAACATCTAACTAGGCTCGTGTTGTGTTTGTAGCATGCACTTTCTTTTTGTTTCTAAACAAAAATACAAAATGACGTTGTTTTGGTGGAATTAACTAACAATAAGAAAGAAATTTTTCAGATTCAAATATGAGCATTTAGATGTTGATGTTATCTATTTATCATTTTGTTTGTAATGTCGTATTTTATTTAAATATGATGAAGATTATAGGTAGGTAAATCGTCTTAACATAGATTAGATAAATACAATTCATATGATGCTAATAGTTTTTCACTTTATATATTTCATTTAAACGGACATAAACGAACAAAATTCAATTATAATCTGATCGAACTATACAATTTATTAAATCGACATAACAGTATTAACCGGTTTGACCTTTTGTTCCGCAATGCTAATTCTTTTATTACACTCGTTTGATAAAATATGTAACCATATAACGTCACCTAGAATAGTTCATACATAGAAAATATCTTTACTGTGAGACTTCTAAACATTAGAACGGTTCACACTTACTGCGAGACTTCTAAACGTGAGAACGGTTCACAATATTTTAGCTCCTTCACTTTAGGCTCGTTAACAAATACACCACTGAATTTTTTTTCCTAACAACAAACCCCTTAACAAGTTGGAAATTATCAAATTGCCAACACCTGTGGCCTATTTCTGCTTGTCACTTGTCACTCCATGTCAGTTTCCTTTCCCATTTCTTCTGGTTCGGCCCGAGCGTTAACAGAAAAAAACAGCAACTTCGGCTCAAACGTAGCAGAACACAGAGCTCTTGCTTCCTCTGCTTCTTCGCCTTCTTCCTTTCCTACGTTTCTAACTTCTTTCTATTCCTGCTCCACCAGCTGCACATAATATGAAAGCCTTTGGAGAGCACAAACTAAAGAACCATCTCTGCTAATAAATTTTCATTATAATCTAATGATACTCGTCGGAACCATCGTCTCCGTGAACACCGTTATTTGCTTCTACAACATCGTCACCAACAACAATCTTGTTCCTCATCGGCTTCGACACTTTACTACCATTTGTCTTCAATGCCTTCACTGGTTTCTTCACCTTCTCCGCTTGCATCTCTAACCCTTTCTCCGAAGGCTTCCTTCTTCTTTTCAACCGGACGCTATCCTCTATAGAACGAAAACAAACCCAGTAGTCAATACAATTTACATTGCACCTCTACTTTCCCAACGACCAAACAAGTGAACAGAATCAAACTATAATTGGTTCAGTCATATTCCATCTAAATGTCAAATGCGTACGATTTCAGTCCCGTGTGAATAGAATCGTTGCACACCCCCAATGAACAGGATATTGCACAGGAACCTGAAGGACGATAATAGTAACTTACCTTCATGAGGACTTGATGCATTGTTCGCTGCTAGCCCCTCCATCGCAGCATCTTCGGAAACTGGAGATTCGGAATGAGTGCTCTCCATCAGCTTTGAAGAACTTCCCCCACCCTTACCTTGTTGCTCGTCAGGACAAGGGATTGCTGGCAGGAAGCACAGTTCTTCCTGTGACATGTCTGAATCACTAAAACCATCTTCTTTCTCTACGGTCACAATATCAACCTCTTCATCTTCATTCACACCAGATTCCTTCACCTGCAAACAACAATTCCACCCTCAATTAGAACCATGGATGGAATCATGTCACCAAAAGAAGGCCTTCCCTCAACCAATCTAAACAGTTTTTCCTCAACCTTTTCAGTTTCTGGCATCAGATCAAATTCATCTTCACGTTCCACATACTCTTCATTCTCCTCCAGCTCTTTGAAATCCGGAGCAAATGCACTCCAGTTCTCAGTATAGTCCTTAGCCCAAATGTAAACAAATCCAGCTAATGAGACAGAAACAACAATTGGATGAATGGGATGCCATGCCAAATCGATCAATGCTTCTTTTGGGCCTTCAAGGATCTTAATGAGATATCCAGCTTTATCCCAGATGTAGATTTTGTGTTCTCCTTTGCTTGCAGAACCAGCAATTACCCATTCTCCATCACCACTGAAACAAGGTGCTTTCCAGTGCATCTTTGTGATTGTATCTTGAAACTCCCGAACAAGTACCAGGCACTTTGATCCAACCACCTTTAGTTTCTCCAGGACATCATGGTTATCAGTTGTTTTAACAAGTTCCTGAAGGGTAATACTTCCATCTCTTTGTGGAAGTAGATTTTCATACATCCTGATTATCCGATCATTTGAGTTTGTAAGGAGATACATCCCATTTCTGCTGAAGGCAATATTCTTGATAACAGCAGCAGTGGAGATGGGAACCACTGCTTGGATTTCAACACTTCTATTATGATCTATTATAAGAATTTCTCCTTTGGAATTACCGACATATACCAGATCACCACGCTTGTTAAAGCACGCTGCAGTGGGGGTAAAATGGGGAGTTGCATCTGAGGATTTATTGCGTGGAGGGGCTGCGACTTCATTGACTGTTTCAGGTACTGTAACTGGAAGAACAGTTGTGGTTCCTGTTTCTAAGTCGACAACCATGGGAGCAGAAGAGAGTGGGCATACCAAACACGTTGATGGGGTAGAAGAACCGGGATGTAGCCGAGCCAAGAGTGATGTTTGCTCCAGTATTGTTCGTGTGATTTTCTTGCCAGAGACAACATCCCAAAGTGTCAATGATTTGTCAGCAGCAGAGACCAGGATCCGATGACCATATTTTGACCAGCAGACACTTGTTATAGGTGCAACAGAGTCTTTATCCCGAAGCTCCTTGGCAATTCCCCTTGTCTCAAAATCCCAAATCACACAGCTTCCATCAACACATCCAGCTGTTGAAGCAAAAAAAGGAAGAATGAGCAGGAACCAACGAACAATATAAAATAAAAAACTTAGTTAAACTAGTATAGCAGATGAAGAAAGGATACTAGAGTTCAGTCCAAACTGCTAAAGGTTTTCATATAACCTATCCATTAAATTGGCAGAGGCTGCAAAAATCAGCTGCAATTACGGAAGTAAGTTCCTTTGTTTGATTCACCAACAATAAGTTACTGCATTTTAGGGAAGTTCTAATGTGGATAAAAGAGATAACCCAGTTCTTTCATATCCCTCGAATCAACAACATCTAAGAATCCTAACTAGTGAAAAGTCTAGACATACTAGCTAAGCGCAATCTCCCGCAGCCTTAAATATTCTGATTTTTCAGGTAAAAATGCTACGAAATGTAATGATACTGCCTATGAACCTTCACTAGATCTCCTAAGCAGCAGGGTCGGGAGTCTAAAGGCACTTCTAAAAATGCGAGCAGGGACGTGACTATGAGATTCCCACTTTGAACACCAATACTACCAGTGCTGACTACTAAGATAGTCACAAGGGAATACTTATATGCTCAGATGGCACATGAATGAAGGAAATAGCTTGAGAAGAGGACCAAGCCACGGTTTCTCTTCTATGTTAAAAATGTCTAATTAATAGCAATCCCATCAACTTCAATGGCGGAAAAGGCAGTAGGTGGGAGAAGAAATGAACCTACCCACTGATACAGGAGTACCAGAAGGGGGAATGCATAGAATCAACCTACCGGCGAGAAGAGTTCCACGGCGATTGAAGGCAATGCATTTCATAACCCCATGCTCCAAATACTCCTCTATTACTTCAGGGAAATCTCCTTGCAGAGGATCTTTCGCCAAAAACGCAATAACACGCTGATTAGGCATACACAAGCAAATTTGGAATAGAGAAAACTAGGGCTACCGAGCAAAGTAAGCAGAGAGTAGGCTCACCAATAATCTGAGCGTTCATGGCGGTCAGTTGTGGATTTAAAGAGCCAAATCAGGGGATGCAAAGAGAAGTAGGGAATCAAGCCGGCGGGAGCTTCAATGGCGAGTTCGGGCAAAACTCTGTTCAGAAATTCCGCCTCCGGAGTCGATTGAAACCGGCAGATAGTGGTCACTTTTCTGTCGTCCGCAATTTAACCTAATTAGGACGGATGAAGTTTTAGGAGAATCGGAAAGAAAGGAGGAAAGAGAGAAGAGCAATGCGGTGTGTTGCTTCTGTGAATTATGCCCTAGGTGGAACAGTCGAGCTTAAGACCGCAACGCGCCTGCGCCGGAGTATCGGCGGCGAGCATATGGGAGCGGAAGTTGTCGGAGAAAGGAGACAGAGTCAGCGGCTGGCTCGATGGCAGCGAGTCGGGGTCGATACTATAGTGGCTAGTTTGGTCTCTTGTAGATTTTGTGAGAGAAATACATTCCATACCATTAAACTTTGAGAATTGGGGGAAGGGTACCACTAAAGTTCATTTAAGGCGTTGGATGCCATGTAAGTCAATTAAATGTGCATCCTTCCAATTTTCCATCCATTTCACTAACGGAGAAAAAAAAAATTGCCAAGTCAGCTTTGACAACAGGCCACGAGGCTGCTGAGTCACTTACCTAATCACCCCTTGTATTTCTTCATCCCTTCGCAAAAAAAAAAAAAAAAAAAAACCCTAATACCAAACCTCTCCCTCCCAAAGACGCTTCCCCAAGTTGAAACTCTTCATCTTCTCCATCAAAATTGCAGCTCGACAAGACTTGACGGCGGAAAATAATCCTACGCATAAGACGACGATCGTAAAAAATAGGTCGGCCAATATTTTCTCACCGAAGCTGGAAACCTTTGCAGGTATGGAATCTCAACCTTTCTTCTAGGTTTTTCCGTATTTGTTCCTTGTGTTATATGTACTAAACCCAGTTCCGTTTTCCTATAATAGAGTTTAAATTGGGACAAGATTGCTCCAACTATTAGTATGTCAGGAGGTCGGGATTCTCTACCACGACGTGGTAAGGATTCTTTCTTTTCTAACTGCATATTGTCTTTTGTTTAAACTTGAATTAGGGTTTATGTTAAAGGAAGGGAAGTACGTTTGCTTCTTTTTGCCCTTGCATGCAAGGGTTGCATGAATGATAACTCTTTTTTATTAATATTTTTGTTTCTTTAATTTGTTTGTTTGGGTAAGGTAAGTGGCCCCCTACTTGTTGGTTTGTGAATTTTATTATTGAGAGTATGTGTTCCATCCCATTTTCAAGCTTTTTGTTTCTCTTTACAGAAGGAGAAGTTGAGTCTGAAGCTGAAAGTGGGTTTGAGGATGATCAAAATGAAGTTAGTGATGAGGACTTTCATTTCGAAGATTTTGAAGGTGGAGGGGACATGAACAATTTGATCATTGATGATGACATTGGTGGAGATGTTGACACAGATTGCTATGATTCAGATGACATGGGCAGCTCCCATTCAAGTGATGACGAAAGTTATACGAAAAATAAGTTCGAAGAGTTTAATCCAGCAAGGGATATGGAAAATCCTCAATTCTCTGTGGGGCAAATCTTTAGGGACTTGAACACTTTCAAGCAAGCTATTAGAGCTTACTCAATAAAAAATAAGTTTCCTTTGAGATTTGCCCACAGTGACCCAACAAGAGTTCAAGTTTTGTGTGACAAGAATTGTGGTTGGAACATTTGGGCGTCACCTTCTGCAGATGGGAAGAAAGTTCACATTAAGACAGCCCAATTGGAACATAATGGATGTGTTCTGCTATCTTGGCACAAGTGGTTTACTTACAAATTCATTGCCAAGAAGTACCTGCTTAGGTTTGAAATTGATCCTAAATGGGGGAATGATTCGATAATGCAGACGGTGGAAGAAGACTTTCATTATACTGTATCAAGATGGACAGCAAGAAGGGCACGTGATTAAGCAATTGTCCGTATATGTTTTTCTTTCTCTTTAATTTTGTCAAATCTCTATACTTGATTAGTGGTACAGCAACTTTAAACTTGGGTTTTCTCAAAATGCTAGCTAGGAACGTATAGCAATACTAAGGGTTGGTTCTGGATGTGGTTACGCAGCGGACTAGTTAAACTTGGATTTTCTTTGATTTGGCAGCCCTTTATAAATATGTTATGTTTTTGGTTTGCGTAGGAAACTAGCCAAAGTTATCCCTTGAGTCAACCAATTTATGATGTGAATCAGATGCATAATCAGCAAACAAATGACGTTGTCAATTCAGCGCCAACTAATTTGGGATTTCGGGTATATAATTTCAGCTCTTAATTAATTATCTTTTCAAGTAATAACCATGTATGATTTTGTTAATATTGAAACTAGCTTCATTGATGTATTCTAAAAATTCTCATTTTCAGGTCCATCAAGGAGAACGGATATGGGCTAGACCAGGAAATGGAAGGAAAGCTTTTGTTCCTAGAAGAGGAACGTCAAGTGCAGGCAGAAGTGGAAATCATCCAAGGAGAGGGGGAAATGGAAATGTCTAATTTATGCTTTTTGAGATTGTTTCGTACTTTGTGGGTTATTTGGTGTTTTTTGTCCTACTGTCACTTATCATGACATTGCATTAGAATTAGTATCTAAGGAATTTAGCTTTATTTAGACTTTAGCAAACTTTTGATAAATATTTTGCAAAAACAAATTATAGACATGCTTCATATAATACGTATTGCAGTAAATTGACTTACATGGTATCCAATGCCCTAAATTGACTTTAGTGGTATCCATCCCCCAATTCTCAAAGTTTGATGGTATGGGTTGTATTTCTCTCTAGATTTTGTAAAAACAGATTCCGAATAAGGCAAAATAACAAATTAACACCAAGTGTTAGGATGAAAAATTACAAAAAAAATATTCTTTTCAATATAAATAGTAAGCCAATGAAAAAAAGTAATATAAAGTATAAATTAAAAAGAGTTCAAAATGAGATAGAGGTTAGGATATTCATAGTTTTTTTTATTACTCAAGAACTTCTACTAAATTTGGGGTCATCTGCAATCAAATTCGACGTCAACGGGGCGTCGCCTCCAGCATCCTTGTATCTTCGGAAACACCAACGGGCCTCGCTTGTATTCGAACCTAGGATCTGCAACTCCCAAGCGTTCACTGTCGCGACAGTTTTAGCGTTAGACTATCTTACCTTTGATGGGATGTGCATACCTTACTTGTTAGCCTAGTGTAACTCAAGATCTAGTCATACTAATTTCGTTTTGATAGTTATTTTATAAATTCAAGGGGTTGACCACAATTAGTGGTGGAGCCACATGAGGTTAATGTTGATCATTTACACCACATTGGGCTGAACTTGTAGTAATAAAAGAAAATTATATGGTTGTGGATTGAATACAAGATTTTCTATTATTGTAAATAACTTTATTAAAGAACAATGTTGTGTGATTTCTATTTAACTTTTAGATCATATATCACGTAACCGAGTTTAATATAAACAAAATCTCAAAAATTATAAACGTTCGTTGCTATCAGTTGCCATTCAAGTGTCAAAAGAACACTTACTGCAAATTCGCAATGACCAAAGTGAAGAAACACTTCAAAATCAAATGAGTGATAAAATCATGAATGATTTTTCGGTGGGTGTCTTAACATCCCTCATAATTTGAAGGGCTAATTCCACTAGGAAGCCCAAACTATTGAAAAAATGACATTTGTGTCATAAACTATTCAATATGACAAATCTGGCACGAACTATTTTCCGTTAATGTTGACCGTTAGTATTTAACAAAAAAATCTAGTCAGCATCTATGTGGTTTGTGCAGATTTGTCATATTGAATAGTTTATGACACAAATGTCACGAAACGCTTATAGTTTGTGCCAGATTTGTCATATTGAATAATTTAGGACACAAATGACACTTTTAAGATAGTTTGGGCTTCCTAGTGGAATTATGCCTAATTTAATGATGAATGTATTTTAGAAATGCTTCAGAATATGAAAGCACGTTCTGAAACTTACGTTATGCTTGTAGCGGTAGAGTCATTTGGGACAACAACTCAAGCTATACAACTTTTGAATTAACAGAGTCATTATGTATCGCTTTCCACGCATAGGGCTGTCCATTTGGTTTTGGTTTTTCGGTTTTAACCGAAACCAAACCAATTGGAAAGCTAATGGTTTCAGTTTTTCGGTTTTAAACCAATAGGCAACTTAATGATTTTGGTTTGGTTAAAACCGAAAAACCAATAGAAACCATTAAGAATAAAATTATTTATCAACAATTTTTTTTTCTTTTGACACGCATACCAATAATTTGTAATGGCTATTTACCATTATTATGACATTTATTCAATAAAAAGGAGGGAAATGAGAATAAATATGAGTGTATGAGTACATGTTGGTTTTTTGGTTATCCAAACCAAAACCATTAAAGCCCTTTTTGGTTTTTGACAACCAAAAACCAATAAGGGCTTTAATGGTTTTGGTTTTGGTTTTTGAGAATTTGGTTTTTGGTTTTGGTTTTTCATACTTAATGGTTTGGTTAACCAAACCAAACTAACTTAACAGCCCTATCCACGCAAAAAAGCTTCGTCGTTGGCCATTCTACGTCTTCCGACGTCGCTCCCGTCGTCCAGCTCCCTCTGATACGTGTTGATTTGTTAGACAAGGTAAGTTTTTGACCCTATTTTGTGTTGGTAGTAGTATTGCATGTGTAGGGTGTCCGTTGCCTGTTTAGGATTTTTCGTTGCATGTGTTTAGTATTTTTTCATTTATAACAAAACATTGAAAATTAATAAACTTAACGTCATTAGCGACGTCCTAATTGGATCGTACAAATTTCATATCAATTGTATCCTTTAGGATTAGCAATAAAATTTGTCGATGTTATCGATGGTCATGCACAACTCAACAACAACCAGATAAGGATTAATTATGAATTGTTCGGTCTGTTTTAATTTTATTTGATTATGTTTGTAACTTTGTCAAATATCATTATTAATAAGCATGTCCGTTAGGTCTTCGTTTGTGACATTTTTTTTGTAATTTATTTCATTCTTAATTTTGTTCGACGGGATCTTTTAATAATATTTGTTTGCATTATTAATTTTTTATGTTTAATTTTGTTTGTAACATTAGTGTATTTGTATTTTTAACATTGTTAATACTTGAAGTACATAAGAACAAGAACAAGGCCACTCCTTTTCCACAACGATTATGACCCCTTTGATAATATATATTTAACAAAGTAGGAAGTGATGTTATTTTGGTTTAAGATAGGGTGCATTACATTTGGTCATTTACAATTGTATATGGATTGTTTGGATGGAGTAATTTGTTGTATGGGGTAAAATAACACACAATTTACAAAAAGGGTGTTTGTGTGTGATTTGGTAAAAAGGGTATTTGTGTGTGATTTGGTAAATTTGAGAGTTAAAA